TCTGCTACTGGCTACCATCCACGTATTGTCCCTACCTATTTGTGTGTGTGGTGAGAACGAGCTCCAGCTCTCGGTCCTCCGCCTCTATGTATCGGTCATTCCTTACCAAAGTAGTGATGGTAGTGCGCCTGTCCTTGCTCACTTGTCTTGCACTGAGGGGGGTGATTCCTTAAGCTCCCCTCCCCCCCTTCCTGTTCCCTGTTTGTAATTACTCTCTCTGCTCTCTAATTCTTTTACCATCCATAATAAACACACTTTTGTAACATAGTCTCCTCCTAGCACGCTAGGCCTACCGACAGCCGGCCTCCTAGGCCTACCGACAGCCGGCCTCCTAGGCCTACCGACAGCCGGCCTCCTAGGCCTACCGACAGCCGGCCTCCTAGCACCCTAGGCCTACCGACAGCCGGCCTCCTAGCACCCTAGGCCTACCGACAGCCGGCCTCCTAGCACCCCAGGCCTACCAACTAAGCACCTATAACTTCTTGAATCGCCAGACCTACTAAGCACTAAGCTGGGGGGCCTGACAGCCGAGTGGACAGCGCTCGGGATTCGTAGTCCTAAGGTTCCGGGTTCGATCCTTTGCGGAGGCGGAAACAAATGAGTAGAGTTTCTTTCACCCAGGTGCCCCTGTTCCCCTAGCAGTAAATAGGTACCTGGTAGTTAGACAGCTGCTACAGGCTGCTGCTTCTTGGGGAGGGTGTAACAAAAAAAGGAGGCCAAGTCGAGGACCGGGCCGCGGGGACGCAAAGTCCCGAAATCATCTCAAGATAACCTCAAGATAGCACAAGGGGGGGGGGGGGGGGAAGGGGGGAAGGACCCAAGCTGGTTTGTTGTTGTTATTTTAGATTCAGCTACTCGGAACAAGTTCCAAGTAGCACGGGATATGGCGAGCCCGTACAACCCAAGCTGGTACAAACACACAGCTAAACTGGAGAGGGGGGGGAGAGGGGGAGAGAGGAGGGGGAGAGAGGTGGGGGAGAGAGGTGGGGGAGAGAGGTGGGGGAGAGAGGTGGGGGAGAGAGGTGGGGGAGAGAGGTGGGGGAGAGAGGTGGGGGAGAGAGGTGGGGGAGAGAGGTGGGGGAGAGAAGTGGGGGAGAGAAGGGGGGGAGAGAGGTGGGGGAGAGAAGTGGGGGAGAGAAGTGGAGGAGAGAAGTAGGGGAGAGAAGTAGGGGAGAGAAGTGGGGGAGAGGGGGGAGAGGGGGGGATAGAGGTGGGGGGGAGAGAGAGGTGGGGGGGAGAGAGGTGGGGGGGAGAGAGGTGGGGGGGGAGAGAGGTGGGGGAGAGAGGTGGGGGGGAGAGAGGTGGGCGAGAGAGGTGGGGGGAGAGAGGTGGGGGGGGGGGGGTGTCTCCTTCCCAGTCCGGCCGGATTCCTGTAGATTTCATATTTTGTGAGCAATGCCAATAAATCAATGCCTGAAGGGGGAGGACGGCCGCAATACCTGAAGCCCGGCCGGAGGCTCCAGTCTCAAATTGACTCTTGTGTCCTCCGAGCCGTAAGGGTTATAATCCCCTCAGGGACCCGCCTAGGGATTCCGCCCCTGAGGGTAGGGAGTGTGGATCGCGAAATGGCTGGAAGGCCCACGCAGGGGTAATAAAGCGAAGAGGGGGGGGGGGGGGGGGAAGAGGAGGAGAGGAGGAGAAGGAGAAGATAAACACGTGAAGCAGGGAACATATGAGAGAGAGAGAGACCTCTCGTCCCTAGCACCCCCCAGCTCCTGCAGGGGGGCTAGGATCCTAGCACGCCCCCAGCAGCCCCCAGCACACATATTGCCTTCACTAGACTCCCTCCACTATTGGTTTTATTGTATATGTATATATATGTGCGTATATTATATATATATATATTACATATATATATATATATATATATATATATATATATATATATATATATATATATATATATATATATATATATATATATATATATATATATATATATATATTATGACGCCACAACCCAGACTCTCTCTCTCTCTCTCTCTATAATTTAATTACTGGAAGGTGGGAGGAATTTATCAACATTAGAGGTGGCCCGGGGCAGCTCTGGTAATGTGTTCACATTAATTACACCTCGTCGCCAGATTTGGATTATTGAACACAAGAGCACGGGACAGGGAGCCCACGTGTATATAACCTGTTGAGATTACATCTCACTCCCTCATATTCTCAAGCCTAATACTTATACCACTACTCCTAATATGCCACTTCTATTACTAATATAAGTAAACTACATCTCTCACATATTTTTGGATAATTTAAAATTAAAAATAAGTATTATATAAATAATAATAATTGCAATAATTTATCATGCGTGAAATTATTAGTTTTATTGCTCTACAGTAATTCATACAATCGTCGATTATATAATTATTTAGCGAGAATATTAGCAAATTTTATTTTTTTATTTTTGCTGCCAATTATTATTTTGCAATATGTTGTCTAATGACCATGAAAGTTGGTAAATATAGGCCTGCACTGCGTACATATTATTGTGTAGGCCTAGATATTTAAAAGGTATCTAGACGTTAATCTGTTAAATATATTCAAGAATTATGACGGCAAGACACAGTTAACAAATTAAAAATGAAATTATTTTTGTGAAATTATCCAGTGAAATGTTAATGTATAATTATTATTTTTAGTATTATCATTATGGATAATTAATTATTATTATTATGACGTTCTAGAGGACGCAGGGGGGGGGAGGGAAAGCTCCTGCGAAACAGCGCATTAAATTTTTTTTTTTCCTTTCCAGTTTAGGTAAAAGGGGGATATTGCGAGCCAGAAGTGAAGGTACAGGTTAGTTAGCGCGGCTCGGGGAAGAACACGACGGTGTCTGGTATACGGGCTCACCATAGCCCGTGCTACTTGAAACTTTTTGGTTCCCAGTAGGTGAATCTTAAACAACAAGAACAGTGTCGGGTAGTCGTCTTCGGAGCCGCCACTCGTCTTAAGAAGTCCTCGAATTCCAAGAGTAAGGGTGAGTCTTCCCCCCCCCCACCCGTGCAGCCTGGGGGTGTGGGGGACCAGCACCCTGGGATATGAGGGACACCCTGGGGGTGTGAGGAGAGCAGAGTGAGAAGTGTGTTAAGAGGAAAGCACAAGAAATAAGAAGTATAAGAAAGAATGAAAGAATGAAGACGTATGAAGAATTGAGATTGAATTAAAGAGAATGAAAAGAAAGTGAAGAAAGATTATCAGAGCTTCCTGATCAGTAGAAGAACTGATAGCGAGGAGTGGAAGGAAGAGGTGAGCGGAAGATAATGAGGGTGAGCAAGAAAGGGGGAAGAAAATTAGAGGAAGGAAGAGGGAAAAGATGAATGAAATAAGGTCAAGCACGAAGGAAGGAAGGAAGGGAACTGTGGGGTTGACAGATGTGAACACTGTCAGACGTGGAGGTGTGGGCCCCAGAGTGCATATTGGTGCCTCAGTTACCATACTCACTCACTACAGAGTGTATGTACTCAGTCTGAGCTCAGGGTAATCATATATATATATATATATATATATATATATATATATATATATATATATATATATATATATATATATATATATATATATATATATATATATATATATGTATGCCTCGGAACGAAAATTATTTCAAATCCTTCTCGTGACCCTTTAAATCAGAAGACAGACGAAAATAAAACAGGTGTGCTGTTTAATTTACGCAGGTAAACTTCTCATTACTAACGCAGGCAACAGTTTACCTAGAGGGGGTGGGGGGTGGGGAGGGGGTATAAACACAGCCCCCCCCATCCCATCCCAAGTGTGCACCAAGGTTCGTCTTCCTTGGTGCAGTGGCGAAGGGGTCTCTTCCCCTAGCTGCTAGATCTCCCCCTAGCTGCTAGATCTTCCCCTAGCTGCTAGATCTTCCCCTAGCTGCTAGATCTTCCCCTAGCTGCTAGATCTTCCCCTAGCTGCTAGCATGGTCGCCTCACCGGACTGGTTGGTACTGGGGAAAGCAGTCACCTTTCCCGGTTGCTTCTGTGGTAACTTTCACACTCTTCACGACAGCCGGAGCTCGCCTTAAGCACAAGACAGGCCGCCGGCTGCTTCCTATCCACCAGCCGCGCGCGCACACACCCATTTCCCTTGTTTTTGAAAGGCGGACAAGCGCTAGGTGAGGGAGGGGCGGGGGAGGGCTCCAGCACGGAATATTCTTCATGATATTCTTCACGAATATCATGAAGAATATCATGGAATATTCAAATTCTTCACGAATGTGGTGAAGAACGACGAGCCGCCCGACCTGCGAAGTTATCTGGAGCTACGAAATCTACGAGAGCAGACATTTACAAAGCTTGATGAATGCGAGACATGAGGAGAAGCAGAGCGAACCCTGTCTGCTGGAGGTGCCGCCAAACCTCTACGTCACAACATGGATACATGGATACAGAGTTTACGTAAATATAACTTACATTATTACACATGCCTGCAGCAAGGAGAAAGACCCACCACCGCTCCTACATAGGACAGCAAGATCTCTACGACTACAGAAGGTGACTAGTGCGTTGACATGCTGTACTACCCAGGCTGCTGCTGCTGCTGCTGCTGCTACTGCTGCTGCTGCTGCTACTGCTGCTGCTGCTGCTGCTGCTGCTGCTGCTGCAGGGCGATACCACTACCCCTCACACCCACCTGCACCACAGCAGCTGTCAACGTGCACATGCTTATTGTCTGCAGCTCAGCATACACCAGGTAGAGTCAGCGCCGGACCAGCGGTGAAAGGCCTCAACGCAACCCGCTCCAGATGGGCCAATACAAAAGGCTTACACACAGAAGCATTATTAACCAGCTCCTGGCAAGGCGCTGGAGTGAGGGGGGGGAAGGGCCTTGCCAATTACTATTCAGTCATTAATGCGTTCCGCGTTTCGTAGGAAACTAATAAAGGAGGTGTAGCGAGTTGCGTGAAGGCCTCGAGCAGCGCGGTCAGCGCCGACTCTGCTAGTTCTACTGAAGGCATCGAAGTGCCGCTGAAGAGTACTCACTTCCAGAAAGAGGCCACGCTCGGCGAACTGCTGACTGGCGATCGCTCGTTTAGCCTGTAC